CACTGCCCTGAGGTCTCTGTGGTCCTTCTTCATGTGTCTCTATCCAGGGAGAGCTGACCAAACATTTGCCTTTAGGCAGCATTTCTGGTAGGGATATTTTCATTTCCCTTGGCTTTATTCAGACTTGGAGGCTAGTTCTAATAAGGAATTAAGGATGATATAGGAACTAGGATTTTCAAGTTAGATACAAAATATTTATCAAGCAGCTATTACACTCCAGGATTCTAGGAGAAAAATCAAAATAAAGCTGCTATTTGTGTTCCTGCTTATAGCTGAAGGTTGGAGGGAGAGGAGAAAGATGAATTTGCTACAAGGTGAATGTAAGGGTCACAATTGTGGACAATGGGGGCTAGGGTCAGTACTGACTACCACAGAAATGGGAGAAAAAAGTTTATTATCTTTGCTTCCAGGAAAAAAAAAAAGAGAGAATATGCAAGCAAACTGCCTGGGACAGAGACCCTTGTCTCCTCCTGACTTTCTGTGGCTTCCATGTCCTCTGTGATTGATGGATAATTCATGTACCCAGTCCCAGGATTCCAAAGAGAAGCCACATTAGAATGTAGGAGGCAGGCAATAATTTTTCTCTCCTCATCTTGAAATAATCTTCATTAGAAGTTGTTATCTAGCATGTGTGAGTTCTACAGGAGAAATGGACTGTGGAGGATGAGTTGATGCCTGGAGTCTCAATGGGACACAAAGTTTCAGGAAGAATTAAAAGCTTGCCAGGACCAGGGTTGTGGGAGGAGGAAGATCAATTGGGATGAGTTCCATCGTAGTAGGGAGCCGAGGACTGGAATAGCTGGACTCCTGAATTCTAACACTTGCTCCACAATATGGCCAGCTTACTTTCTTGTCTCACTTGGCCTTTGCTATGGGCTTTATGGGCTTTATAGTTGCTGCTAGGCATGGGAAGCCATAACCTTTGGCCCTCCCTCTCCAGAGAGGAGTGTTTCTGGCAGTTTCCCCCTAAATTGCCAGAACAGGGAGAGAGAGAAAACAAGCAGATCAAACCTGTCAGAGGAAAAGGAGACCTACCCTTGGGGCCAGAGATCAGCAAAACCCTGTTTTCTTTGGGGATGTCTCATTTCTGGAACAGAAGCCTTTGTAGGGGGCAGAAAGGAGAAAAATGAAGGTAACTGGCTCCCAAATCCTTGGATCTTCTTATTGTGCCAGCACTCACTGTCCAGGAGCAGGTGGACAGAGAGTGCTGGCACAGTCAGCTGCAAGGGGGACTGGGTGCTGGGTAGGAGGGCAGAGCACTTCTGCCCTGTGGAGCCAGAAGAACAAAACTCTGGAAGTCCAGGGGGCAGAAAGGGGAGACCTGAACTCCAGGAGAAGGAGCTGGATGCTTTCTTGCACAAATCTCAATTTTACTTTGTTCCTTAGGTGGTCCCTATAAACATCCCACCTATCTAGATCATGCAGCCAAGTTAAGGGAACCTGGCTCTGTTATGCCTGATTCATGAGTCCCCTGAGACCCCCAAGGAGCCGACACCGATGCAAGTACAAAAGGGTCTTTATTACAAGCTCGAGCAGGGACTCCAATGCATCCCTACGCAGCGGTGGTGATATGGAGCCCCGAACTCGTGATCGCAGGGCTTTTTATTGTGCTTACAGTGGAATTTGGGATGTTCCAGATTGGCAGCCTCCTGGCAGCCTCCTGATAGGTACAGGCTGTCTTGTCAGCACCCAATTGGTTTGGCCCATCTGGCCTGACTGCAAACTGCCAACCTGAACGTCTTTGGATATAGGCACCTGTTTTAAACTGATTGGCTGTTGCCGTTGCTAGGGAAGTAACTAAGGGCAGAACCTGGGACTAGGTTCGGCCTAGTTCACTCTCAAGATGGAGGTTTAATCTGAAATGGAATCAATTAGATTTAGGTATTGCAGCTCCACTAAGGAACAAAATGAGGTTGGGTTGGGAAAAAAATTCTGCTCCTAGGAGCTGTGTGGGTTTGAACAAGGTACTTCTCTGAGCCTCAGTTTTGTCATCTGTCAAACAAACTTAGTAAGAAAGAACTCACAGAATTAACAGAGGATTGAAGCATGTGATATGATGAAGAAAGGGCAGAGAAAACTTTTTAGTTTTATTTCGGATGGTGTGCCTGTGGAAGGAAGCCCAGGTGTGTCAATCTGGCTCTCAGGGCAGGAGAACAAGGCTAGGAACTGTACCCCTTATCCCAGAGCCGCTGGTGGTGCCAGACACCATCTGCAGATACACTCACAGTGATCAGGTAGAGGGGGCACCCGGGTGTGGCCGGCCTTGAATCACCAATCTGCTAATTACCCAGAGAGACCCAGGAGTCTGAGGCCAAGTGGAGCCTAGAGTGAAGAAGGGGGGCTGCTGCTCCGGTACCCTGTCCCTCACCCTTGATCCTGGCCAGCCCTGCCCAGGCTCACCCCTCTGTCCTTGCACCTGTTGCCCACCTCAGCCCTAGAAGTCTTGGGCACTGATCTATCCTGGGGGTGTCGGGGTTGGGCCTGGCATTAAGCTTATGAGGACAGAGCCATTCCCTCCTTGCCTCTCATTGTGTAATTTTTTTCTAATGAGAGCCCCACCCTAGAGCTTGTCATAGAATTTCCCCCTTGATTTCCAAGTGAGCTTTGTAGGGGGAGAGAGAAATGGGAAGGGAGGCAATCAACAGCTGTTGTGGGCCCATAGTCCTTGCTGTGCTTGTGAAATGGAAAACCACCTACACACCTCCGGATACACACCCTTTGACCCCAGAGCTCCATTCGGGTGCCTTTGCAGGGAGGCCTCCGTTGATGTTTGACTCTCTAGGGGCAGAGGTGTTCTCGCTTGGTTTTTAGTTTTTAAATTAGGGTCCAGGCTGGTGAAATTCAATGATTATAGGTTAGGTATAGGTGATATCTGCTTTTCTCCTAGAAAGAATGACACTCTTGTCCTGGAAGCTGCCGCATGCTGAGTCACCATCTGCCCCGGATGACTACAGCCTTGTATCCTTTTTTCCTCGGCACCCCAGCCCTTTCAAAAACCCAGGTGTCCCTCTCTGCCTCAAGGCTCTTTCCAGGGACCTAAGTCTGGGGTCCCTCTGTCCCCTTTCTGGGATCCAAGCTACAATCATGCCTTTAGTAGGAGTAGAACTCTGGTGGGAGATTCAGAGTTCCTGAGCCTGGAGTGGACCCTGGCAGATAACTCAGTGGCATGAGAGTCCAGATTAAGACTACTGTCTATGATAGATGTTCAGATTCCTGAAAATGGGAATGCCAAAAGTAGCAGAGAAGGGTTGCTATTTGATTCTCAATGAAGTTAAACTTGTAAGGCCTGTGACAGACCAGTGTGCCTTTCTGGTCAGGGAAATTGCTGATCCTCCTCTGGTAAGAATCAGCCAAGGCCATGTGGGTGATGGGCAGTGGTTCTGCTGGGTCTGATATTTGGGCATGGAATGGCTTTGGAGCAGGGATAGTATCCTAACATAAATTTGCGGTGTAGTAGCTACTCATAAATATTGGGTTTAATTCATTAGAGTCCTGCTTTATTCTGTGTAATACTGCCTTTTGAGAACTCTTATTGAATTATGTATTTAACTTTAATTTCCCAATATTTGTGTCTCAGGTGGTAACTATATCTTATATTTCTTTACAATCCTCAACAGAATTTATAATAGGTACAGAGAAATACTGGCTTATTAATGACCACATTTTCTCCTCCTTTTGTCACCATGCAAATGAGACCACCAGGAACTTAGGCTGGCTCTTAATCTAAATCCATGAGTTACTCATTTTAGGAGCAGTAGAAACTCAGCCTCCTTTTCCATGACCCCCACCCAAAGAATTCCTGTTCTCTAGCCCCCCCCCCCCCAAAGAATTCCTGTTCTCTAGCCACTCCTGCTCAAGGTCATCTGTAAGGTAACAGCCAGAGTCAGGAACACTAGTCAGGACTTCTCCCAACTGACAGTCCAATAATTATGATGTCCTTACTTTACAAATATTTTTTACTTTATTATAAAAAGACCAATAGATAGGAAGCTATCTATTATCTGTTCATTCTTTCTCCTCTGCTGAATCAGTAATAGGTGAAAGGGCTTTAATAACTTGGAGAGAAAATCCAGATGATATGCCTACAAGGGGGAAAATCAGAATCTGGGGTGAAAGTGTGAGTAGAGAGAGAATGAGGGCAGTGGAGAAGGTGAGTGACTCTTCCAGGAAAAAGCCCAGACTGGCTTTTGGTAAAACAGACAGGAAAATAAATGATGAGTTGGGACACCCTCAGGGAGGGTCTGGGATGGGGATCAGTGGATAACTCTGCAGGCCAAACAAAAATACTTCCCTGTGTGCCACCCACAACCCAGCAAGCCAGACCAGCAGGATGTCTACTGTAGACACTTAGAAAAATTAAAGGATTCAGAAGGAAGAGGGAAGAATCATCTGGATGAGAGATATTTATGATCTTTTCTGGAATTTTCCTTTCTCCCAGGTGTGGAGAGGGCGAAGGAAATATGTTTTCTTTTTTTCTAAGATTCTACTTTTTTCATTTTAGAAGGAGGGAGGCAAGTGTCCTGGGAACTTAAAGACAAGCCTGCTTACACAAAAATCTAAGTAATAGTAGCTAAAAATATTATAGTTAGATCCTGACACCCAGGAACTCTGTCCTCAGTCTCCAACTCACACTCAGATCTGGGACATTGCCTTCTAAGGCTCCCAAACTTCCCTTAGCCATGCTACTCCTCCCAAGGTTCAGCGTCCTATGTTGGTGCCCACCCCATGTGTCCCTCAAACATCTTTTCATTCTGAGACCACCATCTTCTACAGAGAACACTTAGTGATATTATTCATTCTTTCTTCTATATCTCCCAAATTCACATCCTTCTTGCTTATCACCTCATCCCTTGACCAGTTTCAATAAGAACACAGCTGATGAAGAGTTAATGCTGTTAACTGTCAGTACTTTGCCCTTTCTGGAGTCCAGGAAATAGGAATTGTGAGTCTAATTCCTCATTTTAGGAAGGGAATTGAAGAGCTGGGACCTTTTTGAAGGATCATCGTGGGGAAGGAATCTGGCCCTTGCCGAGAGTCTGCTGCTCCATCAGGTAGACTGGGTAGGAATTAGGGCTCCCATCATCCTCTGGGCCATTGTCCTCTCTGTTCTGGATCAGTGCACCGCGTGTTTTCATCATATAGGTAATCTGTGATTAGGAAAAAGGAGGAATGAGTTTCATCCACCATGCCATTTGCTTTCCTCAACACCCATAACCTTTTGGTTCTATTCTCCCTAATTCTAGACATTTAGCTTCCTCCTTTCTCAAGATTCCATCCAAATCTTGATCCTTTTTCCAGTCCCAGATCCCATACACTAAGTCCCAGACTTCATCTTCAATTCCCTCCTCTGTCCAATTTTCCCTATCCTAATATTCCTTATTCTCATATCCCAGATTCTATATACAGCCCCCATTTTTTCCCTATTCTATATCCTTTCTTCTCAGCCACAGACTTCTCTCCAATGCCACTATTCATGCCCCATGCATCCATTGTCCTTCCCTAAAGTTTTCACCACCACTACCCCCCACACACACACCATGCCTCTTTTCCTGTGCTAATTACTCCCTCTGGTTCAGATCCATAATCTTTCATCAACTCCCTGTCTCATGGGTTTACTCCTCTTAGCATCCCTGCCCCTTACCAAGAAGATAAGGCCAAGGAACACCAGGAAGAGAATCACAGCCACGAGGACCACAATAACTATGGCCCATGCAGGGAATGAATCATTTTCCCTCATTCCTCCAGCATGAAGACCTCTTTGTGACCCATCTTTGTTCTGATATGGATGGTTTTGGTTGCCTGGGGCCTCTGACATGATGGAACTCGGCTCCATGTGAGATGTAGAGAGCGTAAAAGAACCAATGGGTACCTCATGGGTAACATCAGTTTTATTTGAACCAGGAGAGGTATTAGTGACAGATTTGCCTCCTGTGACATTGAATGGAGGTCTTATAGTCGCTGTGGTAGCTGTGTTTTTTCCTGTGCTTTCTCCGGGATTTCTTGGGGGGTTTGTTGTCTCAGTGGCCAATGTGGTCTTTACTCCATATTTTGTAGATTTGGCTGGAGTTCTTGTAGTCTTCTCATTGACTGGAGTGACATTTTCTCCATGTTCTTTGGCCCCCCCTGGAGCTCTTGTGGTATTGCTGTTGGCCGGGATGGTTTTCTCCCCGTGGCCCGTGGGAACTTCTGGGGCACTTGTGGTCTTGCCATGGACTGTTGTGTTCTTCTCCCCGTGGTCCATGGGCCCTTCTGGGGCACTTGTGGTCTTGCCATGGACTGTTGTGTTCTTCTCCCCGTGGTCCTTGGGCCCTTCTGGGGCACTTGTGGTCTTGCCATGGACTGTTGTGTTCTTCTCCCCGTGGTCCTTGGGCCCTTCTGGGGCACTTGTGGTCTTGCCATGGACTGTTGTGTTCTTCTCCCCGTGGTCCTTGGGCCCTTCTGGGGCACTTGTGGTCTTGCCATGGACTGTTGTGTTCTTCTCCCCGTGGTCCTTGGGCCCTTCTGGGGCACTTGTGGTCTTGCCATGGACTGTTGTGTTCTTCTCCCCGTGGTCCTTGGGCCCTTCTGGGGCACTTGTGGTCTTGCCATGGACTGTTGTGTTCTTCTCCCCGTGGTCCTTGGGCCCTTCTGGGGCACTTGTGGTCTTGCCATGGACTGTTGTGTTCTTCTCCCCGTGGTCCATGGGCCCTTCTGGGGCACTTGTGGTCTTGCCATGGACTGTCGTGTTCTTCTCCCCGTGGTCCTTGGGCCCTTCTGGGGCACTTGTGGTCTTGCCATGGACTGTTGTGTTCTTCTCCCCGTGGTCCATGGGCCCTTCTGAGGCACTTGTGGTCTTGCCATGGACTGTCGTGTTCTTCTCCCCGTGGTCCTTAGGCCCTTCTGGGGCACTTGTGGTCTTGCCATGGACTGTTGTGTTCTTCTCCCCGTGGTCCTTGGGCCCTTCTGGGGCACTTGTGGTCTTGCCATGGACTGTTGTGTTCTTCTCCCCGTGGTCCATGAGCCCTTCTGGGGCACTTGTGGTCTTGCCATGGACTGTTGTGTTCTTCTCCCCGTGGTCCTTGGACCCTTCTGGGGCACTCGTGGTGCCTGAGTTGTAGACAGGATTTGTGCGCTTGGGTGAAGAAGTGTTTTTACTCTCTGAAGTAATGTATCCCAAAGATGTTACAGTTTTATCTGTTCCTCTAACTGATTTGGACGTATGGCAAGTTGTTTTGGTCTTGGCTGCTGAGGTTACATGTTTTACACCAGACAATCCTTTATGTATGTTAGTAGAGTCAGTAGGATCAATAGACCGTCCATTCCGGACATTTGGGTCTCTTCCTTGATTTCTGGGGTTTTTCTCAGAAGTAGGAGGAATTTCATGATGACTTGTAGAGTTTTGGGAATTATCTACGGGTCTGTAAATCGGCTTGAGATGTTGTGTAGTATTGCAGTTGTGTTTTAGCTTGTGGGCTTCTGTAGATTTAGTGAGGTCTAGAGGGCTATAGCCTGACTGAAGAGCAGTATGATCAGAGGGTGCATTATAAACAAAGCCTGAAGTAGGAGGGAACAAATGATCAGATGCTGGGGAATCACCAGTTTTCCAAAGTTCTTGAAATGTGATAGAACCTGTGAAGGGAGAGAAGCAAATAAGAAACTTCCATTATGTTCTTCCTTGGTTTTTTGCCCACCTCTCCCTCTAAGGGTCCTAGATATATCTCCCCAGACAGTATTCTCAGAATACTATGATTTATAATCCCCATTCTCTCCACTAGTCTCTGGACCTTTGTTTGGGCTGTGCCTTAATCAAAAATGCCACTTCACCTCTTCTCCACCTCCACTCCTCAGTTCTCAGATTCAGACCTTTCTGGCTTTATGGCATCTTTCCAGATTCTTCCAAGCAGATAAGATCTAGTTTTATCTCAATGCTCAAAAAACTCTTTTTTGAGAATTTATTGTGTGTTACAGTTATTTGTGCGTCTATCAACCTCTACCTCCTCCCCTCCCTATCAAATCACAAGATTTTGAGACCAGATATTGATGGTATTTTGTTCCACAAATTCTCCTTTAGAGTTTATATACTTATGGAATGGACTTCCTTTTCCATGACAGAGCTGAGAGGAAAGGAAACAAATATCAGAATCTCCATATTTCCATAACATTCCAGCTCCATCACAAATGTAACTGTGTTAGAGACTGAAGACTTCTGGCAGAACTTGCCATAGGGATTAATAAATAGACACAGATGATGAAGGGGAGGAGGATAAGAAGAGGAATGGGAGATGGATAGAGGAAAGAGATGGAAGACTTTCATTTTGGTGTTAAAGTTTGGTTTGGATGCAGAGAATTAGATGAGATGACTCAATCCTATGGTTCCCCACTGGACCCCCCACCCTCCCTTCACACACCTAAAGCTATCTGGGATAGATGAAGGTTGCTCTCTTGAAAGAAAAAGGTGTTTTCTTGGTGGTCCTGAGATGAGTGAATGAGACAAATGAATTCTGGAAGGGACTGTTTAAGGACAGGGTGTGAGAGAAAACACCTCTATCAATGAACAGATATGGGCTGTAATTATGTGGAAAAAACAACTAATGGGGACAGAGGAGATGTCTCTGATACCTAGTAAAGAGATCGCCAAAGAGTGAGGGAGATAGTGTAGTTACATAACTGAGATTTCCAGTCTCTGTTAGCTCAAGGTGGCAACTAGAACCTGGACCCATTCCCGATCACAAGAAACACAATCCACCCACCTCCCTGCTGCCAAAGAGAGTAGAGACCTGGGGAACTCTAAAAGAAATATGGGTGGGACAAGAAGGGGGTGAGGGTCCCAAGTCTCTTATAGGATTTGAGGTTAGGGAGAGAAAGGAAGGGTGAATTTTCAGGGCCTCACTTCCTTATGTTATTTCCATTCTTTGGTTCCCTCAGCAGTAATACCAATGATAGCTACTATTCATCGGGTGCCTTCTCTAGGCCAAGAGCTCAGGTGGTTGTCTTACAGACATTCTCTTTCTGGATTCTCTTCTAGGTGACTGATATCCCAGCTCCCCAAAAGGTGCCTTAGAAGCTATTAGCCTCCATATTTTATAGCCAAGAAACTTGAATTTCAGAGGAATGGTGACTTGCACACAATCCCATACCAACAGCAATGGCCAACCTTTCTTGCACATTTACTATGAGACAGGCAGGTCTTATTAACCAGGACATGTGTTAACTCATTTGCTTTTCACAATAGCCCTTTTAAGTTGAGAACTATTTGTTATTCTCTGCTTTTTATAGATGAGGAAACAAGGTTCCAAGAGGCTAAGTAAACTCCCAAGTATACTCTCCAAGTAAGAATTTGAGCTAGAGTTTGAACACAGATTCTGGGTTCCCAGACCCAGGTATCTACTGGTTAAGACTACACTACACAAACTATAGGTCAGCCTAGCTGTTGGGAAAAAAAAGAACACTGGCACTTGTGGAACCCCTAAAGGATGCTGTCTATAAATTTGTTTATTCAATCTTCACCACAAACCTGTGAGACAAGTGTATGATCTTACTATTTTATAGGTGAGAAAAGGAAGTTCAAAATTATAAAATAATTGGCAACATCAGCCTTCTCACTACACCCCAGATACTGTTAAATGTGATAGTGGGTGAATAAATATACATAAAGTGGATAAATGAGCAGCAGCAGCACAGTGGAAAATTCCACTGGCTTTAAAGAATCAGAGAACAGGATTAAGAGTTCAGTCTCTGTCCCTCACCAGCTTTGCATCCTTGCTTGGGTCACTTAAATGTTCAGAAGCTCCATGTCCTCCACTGTAAATAACAATGATGTTGACTGCACCAGCTTGAGGATAGAAGGTTATTTAAAGCATTTGTTGAATCCAAATTGTAGTCTTTCAAACAGTCTCATACATTGCCTTATTCTCCTGGGAGTAAGGGGAGCCTGAGCCTCTGGCCTTCTGCAACAGGTATCTCTCCTGGCCCATCTGCTTCACATACTTCTGAGGCCTGCTTAACCACCTCTTCCAAAAGGCAGCCTCATATTCTCGGGCCACTTCCCCCTGCTGTGTTTTATCAACATGACACTCATCATTTTCTATTTATAATAAATACTTCCCACAATGGCAGGGATTTTTATTTGTTTCATTCCTCTCTATGTCTCCAGCCTAGAACCATATCTGGTCCACAGGAAGCACTTCATACATATTTGTTGAATGGATGATTAACAGAATATCTTAAGACTGATGAAAACTCTTCAGAAGCAGTGCCAGCAACCTTTCATTATGCAGTAAAAAGTAAAGTAAAAAGACAGATATAACTGTGACCTCCAAAAGTTGGAAATCCAAAGGGTAATATCTGCCACATGAAGTAATTGAACCTCTGAGATATTAAAAGAAGGCCTGCAGCCCACCAGTTCTGGGATACTGGTTGTCATTTAACTGCAGGGCCCACATAGTCAATAACTAGATTCAGATAACTAGATCTTAGAATTCCAGATCTATATTACACAATTGTGGAACCTATGGTTATTAAATCTGGAGTTGAAGCTCAAAGGATTCCTTGGTTCTGAGCTCAGCCATGGAGCAAATCAGTGACTAGTCCTCCTCCCCCCACCAATGAGATGACCATCTCTTCTCCCCAGTAGCAATTTTAGTTCCCTAGGAGGTTTTACCATGAGATATTAAGTTCACCGACTACCATAATGGCTTGAAAATCACTTTTTTGGTCACTGATGTATAGGTGGAGTGGAAAATCTGGCATTAGACACTGGAGATGGATGCTCAGCCTGGATTAAAGAATGAAAGCAAATCCCACAACATCAAAACTATGTGTTATTCCAAAGGTCTGTTCAATCTGTTTCATTCTCTTATTTGAAAAGAAGGTGGCATCCTGCTAAGTGATTCATTGATGTAGAGTCTCTGTCAGAGCAGCCTCACCCAAAAGAGTGTATCTGGTGTTTCTTGATGTCCTGCCTCTAGAATACGGCTTACTCCATTTGCAATAACATGGGTAAATGGTTGAAATGTCTATAGAACACAAGCTCAGTACGTGACCTAAAACCCAGAGTAAAAAGATTAAAGAGAAATATACTCAAATGGTTGCTTGGGTGGGTAACTGAGGAGTATTAGATTTTACTTTTATTTCTCACTTTTTTCAATTTTTCATTTTCCATAATGAGCATATTTCTGTTAGATAAGTTAAATCAAATAACATTTATTATAGGAAAACATCCTTTTTAGATTTGCTCCAGGACCCCATTTATGCTCCCCTCAGAGATGATTTTATCTAGTTTTTGCACCTCAGGTTCTAAGGCCGCATGCCACAGACTCTGGGGTTCTAAGACTCAGTTATCTGAATCTGGGTATTTGACTAGTCCTGTGCATAAATGATGGGGAAAAAATCAGAACTGAGCACTAAAGGTCTTCATCCACCCCAGTCATCACTTCCCTCTCTACCCTGGTCTCACTCCCTGCTGGACATAGTCATGTGCTCCACCAGCTGTATATCCCAGTTCCACCCTCACCCCATCCCAACCTTATCCCCGTCTCACACCCTCCCCACCTATCACTTACTTGCTCTTCTCTACAGAATCTGAGTGTCCACTGCCTTGGCCCTTCTCCCAGCCTTCTCCTCCATTCCACTCAGGCAAACACTAGCAGCCATCTTCCCAGACAAAACCCACAGATCCTAGAGTGTCCTATTCTGGAATTTAGATCTCCAGTCTGCCCTCCACCTGTCTGTGCCCAAGAGCAAATCTCCCTCAAAAGTTAATGTGTATGGAGTTGATTTATGCCTCATTCCCTTCTGCTATGTACCTACAGATCCTTTTTCCTGGGCAGCAGCACAACAGAAGGTGATGGAGAGCAGCAGGTGGGATAGCAGCATGACAGGAAGGAGGAGAGAAGGGACCCAGGACTGGGAGGCTGAGGACGGCTCTGGTGCCTCTGTCCCCATACCCTTGAGGTAGGGAGAGGTACATCAAGTAACAGCACAAACGGAATGCACTGCTGAGACATAGCATAGGCAGTC